CAAAAGGATGGTGCTGGTGAAGGTGGTCGCCTGAACGGCCGGCAGGGTCTGCGACAGCTTGAGCGCACGCTCGTAAACGCTGCGTGCCTCAGACACCTGACTGCGGTCCTGGTGGTAGGCCGCGTAGAGGACCCAGAGTCGCGGGTTTGAGGGCGAGTTGCGCACGGCCACTTCAAACTCCTCCACGGAGGTGAGGAGAGGCAGACGAGCGTCAGTGGTACTTAAATTTACAGAACTAGGAACAGTGGTCTGCGCAATAGCCGCTATCCGGGACTCCTTCTCCAAAGTTGAATACAGAGAGGCTGTGAAAAAAAATGAAAGTATTGCATGTTTAGGAGAAAGATGGCAAAAAGCGAAGAACCGGAAGAAATGCTAAAATGTATCCACCATCAGCAATGATAAAAGACTCTGTTCGACCTGAAAAGAATCCTAGGGCGCTAAAAGGTTAGACAGCAAAAAAAAACACAGAAAAGGAGTGGTCCCGAGCCTGAGCAATCCTGAAAATCCAACTAAAAGCAGCAGTAAGACGTAAGTGAATGCTGTTTGGCTGAAGGCAGAGGAACGATTGTAGTCAGGAGGATAGAAATAGACATAGGGATATCAAGTGGTCGAAAAATGGCGAGAACGTTAAGCCGGTCAGTTTAAGAGTTTATTCGTTGATGAACGCTCACCTGACCGCTAACGGAACTAATCAGACCCGCTCTGCCTTGGGCGTCGACAGAGGTCCTTACAGTCCTAACAGTTGGTATTATTAGGCAGATAATATTGCCAGCAAAGACAAGAGAGACCGTAATGGCCATTTTTGGCAATATTATCTGCCTACTGACAGCAGATGTTAGGGCTATCAGGGCCTCTGTCGACGCCCAAGGCAGAGCGGGACTGATTAGTTCCGTTAGCGGTCAGATGAGCGTTCATTAACAAAAGTAATTATCCCCTGACCTAAACCGACGCGATAACGGGCTGGTGGCTCAATAGTGGGGGTGTATGACTCTGATCAAGAAAGGTCGCGAGTTCAAGGCTCGAGTGGGACACCACTTGAGGGCGGGTATGATTGGCTGATGATGGCTACTAATTCAGAATTGGCTATTCCAGTCTGCCTTGTCGTAGCCGGCAATATTATCTGCC